TCGCTTTCGTACGACATATTAATAAGAACTTTTTTTATTGGATAAAGACATGACCAAATAAATAGAAAATAAAATTACAATGATGAACGTTGTGAATATTGGGTCATTGTGCTCTTTCTTATTTGATGAATGATACTTAGTATGACTATTATGATTATGGATTATGATTATGATTATGATTATGATGATTATTGTTTATTTATTTATTAAAAATCCATAACGATGTTCTTTGGAATTTAATTAAAGAATTCTCGAATGCCTAAAAATAAAAGAAAAGCACTTTCACGTAACAACAAAAAAAAAAAGGAAAACGTCAAGAAACCCGATAACACCTAGACAATTCGAGTAAATAAATAATCAACGTCGAAAGAGTAGTAAAAACTAAACGAGCGCATTTTGTTAGGAGAAATGCCATAATCTAAACCGGAATGGATACTTATTTGTACAGATACATGTGTGTACTATTCGTGATAGAAAATAGTTAATTGTTGCTTCTATCATACGGCGTCATAGAGTAAGCCAAGAAAGAATCTAGACACGGTGCGATACAAATATATCCTGCTTGTACACGTAACCACTATCAAGTTTGTGAATGTTATGGGACTTTTGTGTTTCTTTTCGCCAACAATAAATAACAATGATAATGTAATGTCAGCTAACATGTCTTCTCCTTTCATTGGATAACCATGTATCTTTCATTAATTAAACATAGATGCATTACAAAAATTCTGTTTCCCATAAATAGATTTCTCTTTCTGTGTTCGCATAATAATTATTAAAACTTATCATGTTTACTTGTAATTAAAATAAAAATATATACTTGTTGATACTTAAGGTATTACTGTGCTTGTCGCGTACATCGGAAAGCACGAAACAAGAAATAAAGCAGTAGCATTAACAATTAGGCAAGGGTAAAAATGCGTACAGAATTGAAGGGGTCTTATTTATTTATAATAGTCGATACTCGAATCAAATGTGCGTATTCAAACCAATTTTAAAAAATCTATCTGATCCGGATCCAATCTCTTCTCAATGCATAGTCTTTGAAATTAAAAAGATCTTGTTGATATTTTTGTTTTTCCTTATGATAAAGCGAGATCCTTAATTGAAGCGCATTTGGTAATATTAATTCAATTAAAAGCACCTTTTAATGTTACGTATAACACGCACCCTGAAAAAAACTTGTCGTTTTTTTCCGACTTAAATTCCGGATCTTTGGAAAAGATTCCAGATTAACAGGCTTTGTTAAAAAATCCCGAATTGTCCACCAAATGTTGGTTGTTCAGATGGAATTACAGTTGCTCATAACTGTTGATTTAAAGAAAAATTAAATTTTTCAGATACCAATCGAAAAGTAAAGTAATCGCGTGCTTTTCCTTCTTTCTCATTTTTTGCATGTTTAAATATAAAGAATCACAATTCTTTCGCCCTGTAAAAAACTTCTTTTATTCAGTAAATCGCATTTTTAATATAGACAAAATTACGAAAATCCGTCATATATCCAGACTATGAATCGCAATTCCGGTAAAAATCCAAAGTTTCTGTTTAGCAGAACCTTGTAATTTCGGACTAAAAATTTCTTTTACGGAGCACACTAATGCCTTAAACTTATATTAGTTCAAATATACAAACTGTGCAAATAATAATATCGATGCCTTTCAAACTCATGAAAATTTTACTTTAATTATCATGTAGAGTAATTATTAGTTTATGTGCATAATTAAAGTATCGATTAAATACGAATTGAGACTTAAATTCAAACCAAAATATTTATTCGAATCAATTTGATGAAGATTCGCGAATATTTGTTCGAGTAACGGTAAGTTGTTAGAGCTTAATACCATTACTGGGCGTCTCTTGTGAAATTGGCGGGAAAAAAAATTAAATAAACAATTAATATAAAACCAATAAGGGACCAATATATCTTATAATGATATCTTATAATGAAGCTTTTAATGGCTCTATTAAGTATAGCACATTTATTTATTAAAACGATTACACAATGCATTCATTCAAGTGTGTGTGAATTTGCGACACCAAACAAACAAAAGAAAAATCAGATAACAAAGTGAGAACAATGGGCTACGCCAGTATTTGACAAATTCTTTGATATTTTCATTTTCATTTCTCTCATATATCATTGTTGTTTCACAATTTTTGAATGGGAATATCTGAACGTTTTGTTTTTACTTTGAAACAAAGAGTCGCTATCAACTGCTCGTTAATTTAATTCACTTCGATTCAATTCACTTTGTTCAAATGGAAATTAAAATGTGTCTATTTTTCTCTATTATCAAATTACCCCAGACAAAAAAAAAGGCATAACATATGCGTGTCACTGTACTTGATACACATCAACAAAAGATTTATACTCCGTAAAAAATTTTACTTTCGCGATAACTTAAGCGCGTGTTATTGCTTTGATTATGAAATGCTATCAAGTTCTTTATTCAAAAGCAAGTGATATTTATATAAAACAATTTCCTAATATAGCAGTTTTATGTCATCCGTAGAAGCTACTTTTTGATATCTGGAAAATAAAGGAACATTTTTCACTTTTTTGGACAAAAGTGAGCAATTTCTTTTGTTTAATCTGAAAAAATCAAAGAGAGAATCATTTGGAAAGGGGAGAATGGGTCACGCGTGTGAGCAAAACGAGCTTTCACTGTGTATTGTTCATTTGTTTTTCTTCTCTTTTTTCAATCAAGAACATAAACTTGATTTTCATTATATAATACATTAGGGATGGAAAAAAGATCGTGTTATGTTAAACATGTTCGGGCGTCGTTTTTACACGGGTAAATAATAATCAAATAACAATCCTGGATTAAACCCTAAAAACGTATAATAATGTAAATTATTATTCTGAAACTTGTGGTATTGTTTTTGAAAAACAAATCATCATAATTCAAATGACATTCTTCATGTCTAAGTTTTTTTTTGCTCCTTATAATTTAATGCGCTCTGTGGCTCCCCTGGTAGGAACGGATCCCAACAAAACGTGTGTGTGTGATTAAATAACATCGCGCATGTTTTTTGCAGCCCAATAATAATTATTTTGATCATTCACTATTAATTTTAGATAACAAAAAAGAGGTTTCGATTTTTACATGCATGTTCCCTTCGTTTCAATACTTGGCGAGAGTAAGAATACATGTACACTCTGTGTGTATTTCGTGAATTAATAATTATATGTTATAATAGTTACGGCCGTGCGTCGATAAACACGTATATCTTGGATGTCAATAATATAAATATATTATTACGTTCATTCACTTATACTTTTTTAATATATCTTCGGGCGAATCAAACATTTATGCAATCCATGACGACGAGATAAACACATTTTCTATGGTGTTACAAAAAAACAAGACCAAGTGCACGCAAATCACCGACCGACATTCGTTATTATTCTTTTTTGCATATCATGTAAAAACAATAATAACTCTTTGATTGTGTCAAAATTTACCCCCGAACAAGATTTTTTTATATAATCGCGCGATTTATGCTAACCTTAAAAGAAGCATTTTTTTTTATGATTGAATAATAAGAAAATTTGAAATGCGGGTGTATCGCTTAGAATCATGAGCAAAATAATAATGAATATTAAAGCATTATCCACATAAATGCACGGGTTGCCTGTTAATTGTGCCACAGCATCTTTTGTTTTTGTGGGGTATTATTATCATCATCATCATCATCATTATTATTATTATTATTATTATTATTACATCGCCATTCGTCACTATCATAAATAATTAAATGAATCAACTGATTGTCAATCAAAGTCATGCACATCATGCACGTTCTTTCTTTACTTGCATAAAATCATTACAAATCGGTTTCTCGCTTCTATCAACTAGAACTAGAAAACTTCCTGCATTACCCCCAATCAAAGTTTAAGTTCAAAGAAGAGAACAAGAAACAGGATACTTTAGCTACAACTACTAAATACATGTAGTAATGTGAAAATCACGTGGATGCATTTTATGCAATGGAAATGTAAAAATTAAAACATTAAGTCGTGAAAAATCATAAGTATTTAAAGCTAGCATAATTTATTGAAAAACCATTAATATTAAACTTGTCTGAATTCATAAATGGGGCATGCTGCAACAAAACCAGACAAAGTGAACATTCAGTTATGTGACATAAATAAGAGGTTGATGCGGCTAAAGTTAACTAATAACATTTTGATTATCACAGCTGTATCTATAAACAATATAAACAAATTGGAGTAAACTGCAACAAAACCAGTCAAAGTGAACATTTGATCGTTATTATTATATGAATTAAATGCTTTAAAGGACAGAGAGCGTTCGTGTAACACCCTTGAGATTTAGCGTCTTCCAACGGAGTCTTCGGCTACTTCTACTAGTGCTAACTCCGCTTGACAATTAATGACCTGTAAATAATACTTCACGACTCCTATCGTGCTGTATACGCTTTGGTAGATTACTATTTAACCTCGAATGATACGTCGATTATGATTAGCCGGGATTAATTGCTAAAATCTAAAATTTTCTACACTATACGCGCTAAAAAATAAAATAATAATCCTAAGGCCGAAGTACATTCCAAATTCGATAGCAAGAATCGAATTTGTAACCAAGATCCCAGATAGCGGTTTACTGCTATAACCTTGGCTCAATAAAATTTTACACACTCACGAATAATTAAATTGTATAAACTTTGTTTATTAAAATATAGAGAACTATTCTAAAGGACAATTATAGAAATGACAAGTTTGAGACGAACTGAAGATATCGTTTAGAAGGGAATTTCGCACTCCTTAATAACTAACTACCATTTCACTAGAGTGGTGTCGTTTTCGCTCTATATTGGGGTAATTTGTAAGCGGCGCCTTTCACACACCCGATTTGGTTATACTTTTGTCACCGGTGCTATTAGCGCAGTAAAGTCTGCTGAGAAATACGTCATCGTCGAACGTCGACAACAGCTACTACATTAGTATATTCTATAAGTAAAACTAGCAAAAGCTACAATACCAGAGAAAGGTCTTGGATTTCTTCTGTGCATGCCATATCACCATCTGAATCTTCTGCTGTTCCATGACTCTCAAGTGACTTAGTCTGTTCATAAATGCATTCAAAAATTACAATGACTAAAATTTTCACAAGTTTAAATTCTTTGCTGATACTAGTCTTTTTAATCTTCTCATAATTCAAATCTGTAAATTCATTCTCATATACTATGCTCTCATAGAGGCGCTTATCCAATGAATATGTCAACATCTGAGTCTGATATTTATAATTCATATGAGCTTTTTGTGATTGGAATTTACTTGTCTCATTCAGTAATTAAAGACTTTTCATATCAAGTATATTTCTTAATTCAAGCTTTTATAAAAGTTAATTAATATTGTTTATTCTGACAAAATAATAATAATAATAATAATAATAAATCTATTTATAGCTTATCTATTTGTGATTTGAAATTATTTCATATTAAAATTAATATAAAATAGAACTTGAATGAGTTGTATTTATTTATTTACAAATAAAGATTAAGTATTTTATAAATTTAATATCTCTTTAATAATTAAATCAAGAACAGAATAAAATAGATTATAAGGATAAGAATCTAAAAGATTATGAATACTTTAGATTTGATAGATAACAAATCTAAAACTTTTATTATCAATATTTAGGATTAATAAATAATGAATACTTTATAATTCTAATAAAGAATAAATATGATATCTCTTTTACTAATTAAATTAAATGAAATCATCTTTTCTTATTATATAATTTTGAACTTATCTTATTAATCTTTTATAAATATCTTTTAATATTAGTCTAATTATTTAAGAAAAGTAATATATTAATAATAATAATCTAGTTAAATCTTAAAAATTCTATATATAACTATTATAAAGTCTTAATAATAAGCAAATATTTATATTATTATTTTTGAAGATTAATTTAGAAGAGATTACTTATTTTCAGATTCTTTCTAAATATCTAATTCTTATTAATTCAATTTTTAAAATATATAATATTATTATATTAATATTAATATATTATAACATGAAATTAAATTATATCTTCTATTTACATAATATTAAATATAAAATTAAATCTTATAATTAGTAAAATTAGTAATATATAGAATTAGTAAAGTTAGTATATATAATTAAATATAATAATACAAAGTTTTAGATTGATATATTATTAGAAAGATGATCTAATATAGAATATATCAATAAATTTCAAATATATAAAGATATATTAATAAGATATAATTAATAAATCAAAATAAAGATGATTTATTAATCTTAATAATATAATAAAAATAGTATTATAATAAGAATAATATTAAAAAAAAAGAAATTATTTATTTAATTTTTCTAAGACTTTTGGATTTAAAAAGAAAGATTATTTATTTTAAAGAATTACTTATTATTAAAACTTTATAATAATTTTTAAAATTATAACTTTTTAAATATATAATAAGAGTTATCAAAAAAAATATAATTAAAATTTTAATTTTTTTATTTATATTAAGTATTTACTTATTTGAATAATTAAAATATATTATGAAAATATATTAAAAAATAAGAATATTATTTAAATTATTTAAAATTAGATATAAATCTATATTATTAAATATAATAATTACTTAATTATAAAAGATATTATATATAATTTTTAGTAAAAATAGTGATGTATAATATTTTTATCTATATTTTAATAATGAAATATTCAAAACTTATAAAAATTTGTAAATATATTCTTTAGAATATTACAAATAAGATTTTCTAATGGTGTAAAATATGTTAACTTAATAAAATTTTGTGAAATTTTGCTTTAAATATGATAAAATAGATATTTATATGAAATAACTTTGAAAAAAAAATTATTTAAAAATATTTTTAATAAGTAATTTTGAAAATATTTTTATATAAATATATTTTAAGATATAAAAAATATATAGTGATAATCAAAAATAATGTAATATTTAAATTTTTTACTAATTATGATTAGTAAAATATATATTTTTACTTATATATAAAAGTTTTTAATTTTACTAACAAATATTTTTTATTTTTAGCTCAAAAAATAGCTAAAGTTCTCTAGT